CCACCTTAGGAGGTGTCTTCCATTCTGACCTTGGGACTTCCAGCCCATACTCAGTGCAGATGTTCCTGTACACTATGCCAGCCACTTGGTTATGGCGTCCCATGTGATCTCGATTTCACTCGGGAGACTTTTCTAAGTGTCTGACAACTTCATTGAAAAGAATAATTGCCTAACGTATAAAGACGAATCCAGTTACCTGCGGCTCATAGCGAATAAGGATGTCATAGTCCATGGACTCTGGGACATTGTCGATGTTGAACTCTAAGTAAGCTCCTTCTGGCACATTAGCAAAGCCCATACCGGTCCACGTAGGACTGCGATCCAGAGGGTACGGCCTCGGTACCACCGTCACACCCTGACAGAGAGAAAGAAATCAACAGAGCTGTAATTTACATGTCTGAGTAAATTTTTGGCATAGTACAATGATAAACACACTCACAGGTCCGTGCGTGGCATCCTCTGCCTCGTAGGTGTAGTGATCCAGAGAGATGAAATAGAAGCCAGACTCCACCTTATCGCAGCGTCGTCCAAACATGTGCTCCCTGCACACACACTGTCCTGTGTGAGGGTCACAGCTGTGCAGAGACAGAGATGGAATGAGTACCTTTATTGTTCATGTATTTTAATTTGCTGCTTTTTTTTTTATAATTGTACAGAAGTAAAATAGAGATGTGCCTGTTTTTGTGAATACTGCAAGTGTCCTACAGTAGCCCAGAATGGACAAACCAAACGCTGGCTCTAGATAGGACCATTTGTGTTTTCACATTGTTATTCAGTGTTTTACTGGTTTAAATCACAGAGTCTGTTTGTTTTGGAGAGGAACCGACCATTCATCCATCCATCCATTTTCATCGGCTTATCCAAAGCCAGGTCGCCAGTACAACAGGCTGAGCAACTTATTCCAGACGTCCCTCTCCCCAGCAACACTTTCCAGGTCCTCCTGGGGGACCCCAAGGCGTTCCCAGGCCAGATGAGATATGTAATCCCTTCAGTGTGTTCTGGGTCTGCCCCGGGGCCTCCTACCAGTGGGACGTGCCCAGAACACCTCTAACAGGAGGCGCCCAGGATGATCTTGATCAGATGCCAGAACCACCTCAACTGACCCATTTTGACGCAAAGGAGCAGCTGCTCTACTCCGAGCTCCCTCCGGATGTCCGAGCTCCTCACCCTCTCTCTAAGGCTGAGCCCAGCCACCCCACGGAGGAAACTCATTTCTGCCGCTTATATCCGCAATGGCATTCTTTGGGTCACTACCCAGAGCTCATGACCATAGGTGAGGGTTGGGACATACCGCTGGGAAAACCTCCTGAACAATGAACTCTGAAGGAATTCTAACCAGGAGAACTTTCAGCTGGTTGCAATCTGCAATCCTCACCACTAGATGCCACTAAATCCCCCTAAATTTCACACACAGGACCTTTAAGTCCAGTACTTCAGTAAATGTACTTAGTTACTGTTAGTATGTATTTTTACATCTTCACTGACCAATGGATACTTGGTCAAAGAACCCCTGAGGATCATGTTCCACCAGGAGAGCTACAAATTAGACTAATTTTAGTTGGCTGAAGGCCAAGTTAAATTTGGCACAGTGCTATGTAGGTAACAGCACACGTGATACCATTTTAAGAATATAAGCTGTGTCCCCCCACTGTGTATCATCAATCACGTGGCTTCGCATGTAGCAAATGTTGATCCGAGCTCGTAATAAACGTGCATTAAGAAAGAACTCCGTGATCGGCCTCATCCTTGCATTCTTCAGATCATCACAGAAACACCTACTCTCAGTTACATTACACCTAAATAAAAGAGATCTTTAAACATACTTGTTGTTGACAGCTCCGCCCTGATCACAGTCACATGGTCTGCAGCCGTCCATGTCATTGGACAGACCCCAGTGCTGCGGCTACAAGGGAGAGAACAGACATTTGTTCATACACACACACACACACACACACACACACACACACATACACACACATATATATATGGATGTGAAATATCTAAATTGAGGCTGACGGTTGTTTTTACGCACCAGACACTGATCACATTTATGTCCGTCCACGAGGCGTTTGCAGAAGCACCTTCCTGTGTCCGCATCACAGGTGCTTCCTCCGGGCAGAGTGCCCAGCGGGTTACAGGTACAAGCTGCCAAAACACACAAGCAAACAATGAAACATCAGATTCAACTGCGTCGGTCCGCCTGACTGTAGTTTATCTGCACTCTGTGTGGTTGTGTCAGTTTTTATTTTAAGTCCTCCAATAAAAAACAACAAAACGGTATATTTTAAATATTCCTTGATGTCACAAAGAAATCAAATCTCTTCACTTTTCACCACAGAATTCAATTAATTCACCCATTAATAATGATGAAATTAAGGTATTTTTCTTGGGATTTTAAGGGGATAATTATTGGATTGGAATACATACGTATAAGGTATATATTTAATTGATTATATGCATGGTTTAAGAAGTTTTGACTTTGCCTTTTTTAATTAAAGGACAAATTAAGGGACCTATGACTACCACACTCAACACATTAACCTAAGATTAAGAAGTTTGCCATGTTTTCAGGGGTAAATTAAGGAGTAAGTCATGGTATTTTAAAGGATTCTTGTTTCATGATGGGTGTAGTTATCCATAAACATTCAACCATCATCCAATGACTAATTTTCCTTATTTTATTCATTAACAGTTTCACACAGAGAGCAGCAAACTTAGCCTGGTTCCAGACCATAGACCCCGCCCACTCAACTGAGTAGGCTTGCATCTCTGGTCTAGCATACTGCAATGAATTTGCGATTTATCTTGTCCAAACTATGGATGGACCAATGAACGCCGGGGGTGGGGGCGGGTCTAGCGATTAGCCAATCAGCGCCACGCTGATGTCAAGCTGTACGCCGGTGGGTAACTGGTGAGGATAGCAACAATGGCGACCGCTACAGATCCTACAGACCACATTAACGATGCTATCGAGGTATTTCGCCACTACTCGCGTTAATGGAGGACCAAATTAAGGAAGCTGCTAAACTGGATTTAACGGCGATGCAGCTGGGCGTGCACGACGACGGAGACATTTTAAACGGGCAATGCTCGCTTGTTTTCGGCACCC